TTAATATGGTTCAAGATTTTTAAAATAATTATTTTTATAATTTATTTGAATGATTATAAAGATTTTTATAACCATTTAAGATTATTTTTAAACAATACACAATAAAAAAATACTGATGCTTTTAACAGATTTAGGCCGCTCCACAATTCACACTTCATTCAATTCATTACTGTCTGGCTGGTTTGTGTCCTCTGCTTATATGCCGAGGTCCAACATTCCTGACCATCATCACCAATAAAGTCTAGAAAAACAGGGCATCAGTATATTGTAAACCGATAGGTTAAAATTTTCTTTTCCAGTTATTAAAAACATTTATTTTGTTACCTCATTTTAGTTTTGTATCTATTAAAATGATTTAATTTCAAGATTGTAATGTGTACATCATTGTAAACCCTATGAATGGTGAAAAAACATATTCTGTAATTTTGTATTAAAACCATATGGGTCTCCACTTTTGCAACGGCCTCTCTTTTTTGTTTTAACAAACTTCTGTCTCAAGTTTTTTAGATTTAAAAATGCTTATTTTAAATCCAGTTTTCTGCTGCAATGTCAATCAACGAGTCAGTAATAATCAAATCCAATTTGTACTTTCAAAACATGATTTTTTTTTTTTGTTTTAACAAACTTCTGTCTCAAGTTTTTGAGATTTAAAAATGCTTATTTTAAATCCAGTTTTCTGCTGCAATGTCAATTAATAAGCATTAATTTTTAAATTGCTGAAATGGTTGCTGATTAGAGTGGTTGCTTGGAAATACAGACATTACTTTGATTTCATTGAGTCTTAAAACAAAAATATTTCTTTGAAATTCAGCCTATGTCCAGTCTCTAAAGAACTTTCCACTGCTTTTAACTCAAACAGCAACTTGTTTAAGCACTTGAACAGAAAGCATTCTATGACAATACTTATCACCAAGGAGGACACTGATGCCCAAAAACATGGCGGGCGCAACTCAGTCTAACAGGATACATTGAATTTTTGAGCAGGATCAGGAGTAAAGGTTTCTTTTGAATGTGAAGAGAATTGTAGCTGCTTGTGGGACCGTTCACATACAGTTGCTTGTCTTTTGCGAACGCAAGTTTATTATTTCCAATGAAGGTGCATTTTCCAGATGCACTAGTTGAAAATCGTGTGTCGCGGAACAAGAACTGACAGATCAGCTTCATGCTTTGTATGGAAAATACACATTTCGGAAGACTGATTACCTCAAACAAACACCCAAACACTGCAGTGCTTTTGCTTACTATAGATGTTAGTGTTTACAGGTATACAGTTTTCTTCATGTCCTCTTTTGTTGTAAAAAAATGCTGAATGTAAACTCTTCAAGTCTTTTGAATATGTCAAGCTGCTGTGATCAAGCTATAGTAATCTTTGTCAGTGAATATGAATTACTGAGCTGCAGTTTATTTTGTATTTTTATAGGTTTTATATGTTTTAAAAGTAACTTCAAAGTAAAGTAATTAGTAATCTGATTACTTTTTACATGAAGTAATTAGTAACATAATCAGATTACAGTGTCCCAGTTGTAATCAGTAATTCGTAATTAATTACTTTGAGTAACTTACCCAACACTGCCCACAGGGTATCTACAGGGTATGCAACTAAAACAGAAGCTATGAAAAAGACTGACTTTTGAGCCTGTGCCTCATTTCCTGCAGTCCTGTCAGTTTAACCTCTTGATATATGGTTTTCTGTACCCAATATGAAACACACATATGGAATACAAGTCACGGCAAAACAAAAACACAGTTTATTCTAGAACATGAATGAACTAAACTGAATCTGAACTTAATTGTTTTTGGATGTACTAGTATTACTCTAGCATTCTAAGAAGATCCTGCAACCATTCTTGATATAAGGTATAAAGATATATTGTTTTTCACGATTACATTTTGTTTTCTGACTTTAATTATTAGTCTAATTTTAAAGCAACGTTAACACAATCTTCATTGTATAAAGGGTTTTTGCATTAAAGGTGAATTGCCTTTAAAATACACTGCTCAGCTCTAATAAAATATACAACACTATACTTTTTTTCCACCAAATTAAACGGAATACATAATTGATTCAATGCTGTGCACTAGAAGGTTTTCCCTTGACATTGTGCCATTTCAGGACGTGAGTTCTTGAATATGATGAATGATGGAATATGCTTTGCCTCAAATTCAGCTCTAAAGCAGTTCACAGATGGGGTGGACTTAATGTGTGTTAAGGACAGTGAGCTTTAGTATTTTTCAGACAGGGAGTAGTCTGCAGACTGTCAGGGTATATTTTGGGAAAAATTATAATATTGTTCAAAATGCTCTGCTGTGTTGATCAGCAGTGCTGCAGAGACCAGACAGAGTACTGAATAACAAATGTATAGTCATAGGATAATGCCAAGATAATGAACAATCTGAACACCAATAAATAGTTAAGATTTTCACTGATTTAAGTATTGCAGTTAAATGATTACACTTGCATAAAAAATGAAAGTTTGCAGATATATGTATATGTATATATATATGTATATTCATATATATATATATGAATTTGGATGCAGCCACTTTTGGTAAATAACTGATTTAAGGGGTGGTTTAGAGTGTATTTCTAAGGCTTGGCTTTGTTTATAAGATGCAAAGCAATGTGTGCTTATGCTTCATGGCTCCATGTCACCAGGAAAAGCATCACGCCCCAACAAGCACAAACTTTTGAGTTGTGTAAACTGTCAGTCAGAGTAGCTGTTAGCAATATCAATTTGAGTCTGAATCTTACAGAAAATGACACAGAGGACACAGCTAAACCTCACATTTGGTGCTTCATATACAAGACTTGCGTTGAATTCATACAAAAACATTGCATATGCACAAAGCTGTAAATGTGCATACGCAGTAAAAAATTCAGATGTATGAAATACAGCGTACATGGAATCCTACGCATATTCTCTTTGTACATCCGACTTAATGTAAACGAACGCAAAACCCCTCCCTGCCTCCTCCCCCTAATAAATATGGTAATAACTCTACTTTGGCAAAACCAAATGAAAAAGCAATGGCAAAAGCAAGCAAAAAGAGAAACTTTGAATAGAATGTAAATTAAAGGTGCGTCTTTCAGAGGTCCGGAAACCGTAGAAAAACTGTGCAACAATGCAAGTTTGTCCTCCGGAATTAATAGCAAAAGAAAACAAATAAAGTGGGAGTTTAGCTAACATGGTTAACCCAGTGAGGTCTGAACATCGCACTGTGAGTGAATTTAAAAAGAAATGGTCCGATGTAAAGGTGTAAAATTTTGTAGTGTTTTTTTTTTTGGCAAAAAAATAGCACACCTTGTTGGAATTACCACCCATCACTGTTTGATTGACAGATTGAGATCACTAAAGAGAGCAGCAAACAGCAACATGAGTGGCGAAGCTCGTAAAGAGCATGGCAACATGTTTTGAAACGTTTGATCAAGAACTCTGTTCGAATCCAGGGTCTGATGAACTCAATCTGATGAACTCAATAATTGATAAGTGTGTGTACTATGTTAAATGCATTTCAGCATCACATATTATTTACACATTTATTGAATGGAAATGTTACGGATTCACATACGTAAATTCGTCTTCAGATGGGGCCTTTATAGTAATGTGCGTGTAGTCACTCGCTCCAGATAGATTGGGAAAACCGGCGATCGCTGCAAATTGCGTTTTAATGTTTTACTTGTCAACTGCATGGTATGGAAACCTTTTATACCTACTAGACATGCAGAAAGTCCCGTCCCATACAGCTGCCAATTGCACGTCTCAAAGATACTTTGTAGTGTGCAATTCAACATAATTGCCTCTAGGAGTCGCCATGCTCTCTAAATTAACATCTGGCAAGTGTCTTTCACGTATAATCAGAATAAATGTAGGTAATATGAAATGTTCACGGCTTTTGAAAGTTTGTTATTCGAGATGTAGAATGCAGTGAAAGCATCCACTTGGAGAGACACTGCAGCGCTGCTGAAGATTGTAGGTGTTTACAGTGGTTTGATGGATATATATGAATTTGTAGTTAAATTGTTAATGGTGCCAAACAGCAATTCCCGTTGTTTAAATCCTTGTTTTAATTTTAACAAGTAAAAATACTTACAGGTTGTGGCTCACAATCCACAGCTTCTGCTACTATGGTTGGAGCTTCTTTAAGAAGTTTTAGCCGAATTCAGCACTGAACTGGGAGAGATTCTGAAAGCTGTCCTTTGTCAAATACTAGAACTATATATTTTTTATAATTCTCTGGAACATAAATAAAATTAAACTGTAAGCACTTCTCTCTTTGTGTTGTTTCCTTTGAAATCCCAAATACAGAAACAGAACAAGCTCTGCATGAAATAACGTTTGACGGCATTTTAGCTTTCTCTGCTATAGCATTACAGCACCTCTGGCCACACCCTTTCACGTTTGTGAGCTCACTAGCCCAGATGTATTTTTTGTAGTCCTCAAACTTCGTTCACTGTAGGCTTCACTAAACTAACTCTGTAAAAGCCAATGTCTCCCTTTGCATTGAACTTTCAGCTCATTACATTCAGAGATGTTGTTTATGTTCACACAGCTACATATCACCTACAGTTTAAAATATGATATCGTAGTAGACCAGTCCAATAAAGGTGAAGATGCTTATAATTTAAGCACATCTTCAATGCATGAAAACGTGAAGCTATTCTAATGAAAAATTCAGCGTTTACCGAGATGAATTGATTTATGAGCTGGATACAGATGAGAATATTGATGGTTAAACTGACCCTCTTAAGCCATTCTGAAGCAGAAGTTGCCTTATGTTGGTTCCAGCTTGCAAGCATAGCTTAAATGGTAATAAACAATGGATTTTTTTAGCAAGGCGTTGGTTTTAAAAAACATTATTAATAAATAGACTACAGAATATTCCACTGCATGTCATTTCGGTCCCTTTCACTTCTTTTCCTCTCCATGCACAAAAAGGAATCTCTAGCAATGATCATATTTATTTATGATATAGGACATAAGGGAAAAGTTTTCACTCACTCAAGCAGTTGTTGTCATGGAAATGGCTGAGGAAGTGGTTGCACTGATCTCGGAAATTCCCACTTGCCGCACAGGAGCACCACGGCCCCACATTGGATGTAGAGTTATCTAGGTAGTTAGGAGTTATAATGCTTCCTACAGGGAAAGAGAACGAGACACAGAAGAGAACATCAGTTGCAAAACAGAAAGCCAAATGCAGTACCAGTATAATGGTATCCCATAAATGCTATGTCCATCTGTCAAATCTCCGTGTTGTGCTACCAAAAAAATTATTTTACCAGATGAAAGTTTTTTTTTTTTTTTTTTTTTAATGGAATAGGGCACAAAATAGAAAATATACTTTTTAAAAAGCCATTTCTTTCTTTGACTTTAAATGGACAGTGAAAATGAGTTCCTAAACCTTCTGAAAATGTTCAATTTCTTTTTTGACTGTTCAATTCCTTTTCCCTTCTTTTTATGTGAACTTTTGCAAATTACATTGGAATAAAATTATATGTAAAATTAAGAAGATACAAATGGTGATAAGATCTTCAAGTAATAAAAATCATCCACTCAGCAAAGTAAAACAATTTTTGCCATATAAATTAATTCAGTATTAACACACTAAGAAATGCTGGGTTGTCAAAGCCAAGTGTTGGGCCAAATATGGACAAATCTATATTAATGTTGGGTTAATTTTTTCAATTAATTTTAAATGACAATTTTAACCCCAATAATAATAATAATAATAATAATAATTCCTTACATTTACTGTATATAGCGCTTTTCTGGACACTCAAAGCGATTTAAACATTTTTGGGGGAATCTCCTCATCCACCACCAGTGTGCAGCATTCACCTTGATGACGTGACTGAAGCCACACGCCAGCTGATTGGTGGAGAGGAGTGAGGAGTGATGATGCTAATTATAATATGGGTACCTACAACCCAGCATTTTTTAGAGTACAAATTTAGGTCATATATGAACAAATCCAACTTAGCTGCTTAAAAGTGTTCCTAAATTGTACATGTTACTACTTAAATATACAACAGTTTACCAACACACAAAAAAATGCTGGGTTGCCATAATCCAGCGTTGGGTCAAATATGGACAGTCTGGACATTTACACATTTTAAATTACACATTTTAACCCAACGGTTGAGTTTCTCCATATTTGATCCAATTTGATGAGATTGGTGACTTCCAAAAATGTTATACATTTCATTATTAAAAATGATCATATTTTATCAATAAACTACAGAAGATTAAAAAAATAGTAGTTACATTAAAAAACAGCAACAGCTTGGTGATTTCCAACAATTAAATGAATGTAAATTATTAGAAGTAGAGGAGAAAGGAGAGGAGGATGAAAGTACCATTTTTTTAATCGGTCTTATCATACACCAGGCGCAATGTGGCGCAAGGCGCGACCAATTGTTGTTTGCTAGTTTCAGCTTGGCGCAAGAGTCGTTTTGACATTTTGCACCACGCTGTTTAAATATCAAATGCATTTGCATAGGCGTTCTGGTCTAAAAAGGAAGGTGTGTTGAGGAGCATTGCAGGCGCGTTGCTTTATTGAGAAATTATGATAGATTTTTCAATAGACCAGAACAAAGCCGATCTATTGTCCAGTGCAGAGTGCGTTAGTTGTGCGCCACTGCTTAATACACACAAGATGTAGAGCAATACGCAAATCTTTACATATGAAAAAGAATTAAAATATTGAGGATATAAATATATATATATATATATATATATATATATATATATATATATATATATATATATATCATTATTAGCAGTTGTTATCACATCAATATGTTATTATTATTAGCAGTATTATCACATCAATATTTTATTATTATTAGCAGTATTATTTATGATATCCATATTTAAGTTTAGATTTGCCCATCAGGTTTCAGACAATATGGGGCACAGCATGTGTATTTGGATATAACTCAGTTTTTTGACCACACTTCATTATTATTGATTATTTATTAGTTTGCTGAAAATTAGAACTGAATTTAGAAATTGTTTTGAAACAAATCTTTGCGCTTAACAAACGAAATTAATTATTTATAACTGATGTCTGTGCATACAAGTTTTCCCTATCCACGAGAGCGAAAGTAGAAAATGAGAGGCCTTATCTCTCATTCTCGCGCTGTAGATGCTCTGTTTAACTGTTTTCTTAGTGAAACGCTCAGTTCTTCCACTTAAGCTGCGGTCACACTAGAGTTTGAGCATGTGAAATTCTGTCGTGCAGCGATGCGAAAAGGGGTGGTATTAAACAAGATTAGGCATTAAAAAAGTGAGCGATTGCTCCATGTTTTAAATTTCTGTCCAAAGAGGTCATGTTTTGATCCTAGATTGGTTTCACGCAGTCAAGTGATGCGATTTCGCAGGTCAGAGTTCACCAAGCTTGAACTTTGTACCGCAGCAACCTGCGAAACTTAACGCATGATCCTGTGTTTCCGGTCTGTTGCATTCGCGTGCGTATGAATGGAAGTCTATGGGAGGAAAAGCCCAGTATGACTGCAGCTTTACAAAATTGTCATGCAAATAGCAATTGCGCTATGACGCGACACAACTGGCTCTTAAAGGGAATGGGAGATGAGACTCTGATTGGTTTATACTCAAAACACACCTATAACTCATTAAGAAAACTTAACCCTTTTAGACCATGCGCCACCACGCAAAGCAGACTTTTCCGTCCTTATTTTAGCAAAATTGGATTTTGACACGCCCTGAATGCGTTTGTGTCCTGCGCTTTGCGCATGGATCATCAAAATAGAGCCTAATGTTTTTAAAAGAAAAATGCTATGATTACAAACTCATAAGTGTGGTTTATCAATAGTAGGTGGTATTTTGAACAAATGTAGAACAGCTTCAAAATAATTTCATTTTAAACAGAAATTGCACATTGTTACTATTGACCCTGCCAGTAGGGTAGAAAGTAACACACGGGTGTGTCAAAAGTAACACAACAATATTTGCTAGATTTACTGGCTTAATCTTGTTTATTTGAAATATATCTGACTTAGACCTTGTTAATAGCAAACATATTTCGACAAAAAATATTAGTCATTTTCATTTTAAATTTCAGATCCATCATATGTTTCAAAAACAATCAGCTACTAACTGCAAACTGTTAACATTTTTAAACAATTTTTATATATTTTTTTATTATTATTGGCAATACTATATGCATTCCTTCTAAAAAATGTATGAATCAAAACACTGAGAACTCTAATGTGGAACTGAAAAATAAGGTTTGTCTATTAGCAGTGGGGCATAAATAACAGTGTTACTTTCGTTTCCCCTGATTTACTTTTACACTGTAAAACTCAGAGATTGCAAACTTAAAGTTGTGTTATTGCAATAAATAACCTGTATATTAATCATTGTTGTGATGCATGAAAAGAGAAACACAAAGGAAAAAGAAACATCTACAACAGTTTACTTTCTACACGTAAAAACTGAAAAATTCAGACCTTAATATTAATATTAACCTCACCTGAGACTGGTGGGCACAATATTTTCAGCACAAGTCTATTCTTTGTTTAATTTTGAAGACCGCCACTCAGAGATCATCCGTCAGTTGTGGCCTGTATTTATTTTTTTATGTATTCGATTGCCAATAATTTGTCAAATTTAACCTGGTGCTATAAAATCAATCAGCTGCAGATGTGTTGTCAATCTAACGTAAACACACCAATCCTATAAAACAAATGATTAAAAGGCTGATGGCTTTTCATTTGCATGTTGTGGTTTTAATTTATAACTATAAAATACTACTTTTAACTTCTGTTGGTTATGGAAAACACATGAAAATTCTAATAGTTTAATAAAATTTATTTGACTTTTGGAAAACACCAAGCAACCCCCTGTCAATGTCTGATCAAGGACTTTAGCATTTTGCACTGTATTTTCTTTTCATCAAAAAAATAAAAATAAAAAAATTGGTATTGGATTTGTGCCTCTAATGGGACATCAAAGTGCACCTTATTCATAGAACGTGCTATTAGACTCATTGCATCTGACGAACGCTTCAACTGACTAGCGCGCATCACCGCAAAGACACTTTCACCCTTCTGATGATGAAATGTTTGTTGCATTTTCACGCAATCACTTTGTGTTACTTTACGGGCCCTCAGCTAAGGCAGATATGAAAAGCTCTGTCAATCTTCTTCTTGTGTGTGGGTTACATAAGTGGGCTAGAACATTGATTGCAGAGGATATAGTTGCGATGCTCTCGGAGCTGTGTCTTTGTTCAGCAGGGAGGGAAAATGACTGCTTTTTCAGCGTGTGAGTGAGTGTAGAAGTCGTCAGCTGAAAGCGGGAAAAGTGGAGGTGCTGCACTCTGGAACTCCATGGTCTGATAGGGTACCGTTTAAACACATTGATTTCTTTTGTCCCAGAACACAAAAGTGCAACATCTTCACAACCGCTCTTGGAAAAATACTGCCTTAATGACTAGCAGCCAAGGCAAAGCTCTTGTTCTCTTTTTTTCTTACTGCTATCTTTGACTTGTACATTTGTTGATGTCGTAAATTCTTCTGTAGCTCTCTTTACCACCAAATCTCTTTCACAGTTCTGTCCAGCTTTTGACATCATGTATTTATATATGGGTCGCTACTTGATGTTGCATTTTCACTGTCACACATGACAAAAATGCATACAATTAGTCTTGTCATCATTTAAAATGCCCTAAATTGTTAAATATTTGTCTTCCATAAACCTCTTAGACATACTCACAGTGTTGCTGCTTGTTCAAAGTATTTATTTAAAATGAGCTGAAAAAACACAATTCTTGAGATTTGTTCGAAACCACAAACATTTAAAGAGCCCATATTATACATGAAATAAGGTCATATCTTGGTTGTAAGGGTCTCCAACAACAGTCTAATATGCATGCAAGGTCAAAAAACACTTTCATGGTCTTATAATCTGCATTTATTTTTATCTAATTATCCCAGCGACTCCTGTATGAATCGTCCAGTGATTCATTTGTTCCCAAACCCCTCCTTAGCGCGAAGCTAATCTGCGCTGATTGGGCCGATGACAGTCTGTCGCGATTGGTCGACTGCCTTCAGTCAGAGAGGGAAATGGCCAATAGCTAATCAGCAATTTAAAAAGTAATCACAGTTCATACACGC